ACTGGAAACAAACCACTGGCTCACGATGTCGCGAGTTTATTCTGGGGAACAGGAAAAAACTTCAACGGCCAAAACATGTTTTGCAAGCTGTTGATGGAAGTCCGAGACCAAGCACGGGCTCAGATGTGTAAATCTAACATCTTTTTCTTATTTGCACATGCACATCCTGATATTTAAAGCATGGTCATTTTGTCTTGTAAAAAGATCAACCTTCATCTGTTTTTCAATTAATTTATCATACTTGTGAATGAAATATACTTTCAGAGCTTTTTAATGCAGAAAACTTATTTGAGGGCATTGGCATGTTATAGTGGTAATCTAAAAATAGAGATCCAATTCCTAGGGTTTTATCGGTTAAAAACAGCAAGCTGTTTGGGCTTGATAAAATGCAATAAGGATTTACATGTACTATATACAGGGAAATTTTTGCCCCCATTTTATTTTCTCCCCTTTTACCCTACCCTCATTTGGGCAAATTTAAGATGGGACAAATTCAAAGAATACAGTATAATTTCTTAAACAAAACTTTGATTGGGTGAATTTAAAACGGGGCAAAATTGTTTGCAAGTGTGAAAGTGCGAAAATAACTTGGCGAAAATCACCCTGTATACAGTAAATGTTATTGTAGATCACTAGATTCTCACGACACCTTACTTTTTGCAAGTATTGCTTCATATTTATGATAGAATGAAATTTTCTGAGCATGCAATCTTGTTTAGTTATATAGAAAGTGTTGAGAATGTAAAAATGATTTACAGTACTGTAGCTGCAGATTAAAGTGGAATCATCTTTTTTTTAGGGGGTGGGGGCATGATATCAAGAAAGTGCCAATGCTCATAATATGTAATTATTAAAGTGAATTCTATGAAGTTTGATCAAACAGAACCTACTAACATATCTAATTGTTCCTCAATGCTGAGCTTATTTCATAATTTTCAAACTTTCTCACATGACAGAAAGTTAGTTTCAATTTCAATAATGAACACTTGTTTTTCATGTCAATATTGCAATAAGTATAAAATTTGTATTTAATTTAACTAAAAGTTAAGTTAATTGAATCATAATTATATTGGTTTCAATTTTATATTTGTATTTCACTCACTTTCCACATGAATGCTGCTTAAACCATATAGAGTACACATTACGTGTATGGTATAAAGGATTGTATATTGTACATGATTATCTCTCTCTCCACAGCAAGCCAAGCCAACTTCCCCACACACCCTAACCCTGCTATACTCCGACCCCCAATAGCTACAGTGGCATTCCCCATCAATGGTAAGCAGAAGCCACCAAAAATGCTTTAATATCATAATGCACCAGCATAAACTTAAAAGAGATGCCAAATTTTTGTAAGCATTGTAAAGGGATACATTTTTGATTGTATGTCAAGGATTATCATCAGATAGATTTTATTTGTACATTGATTTCCATAATTATATCACTTCTCTATTATGAGCAAAGAAAAAGCAAAATGGTAACTTCCAGAATTTGATGCTTAGGCTAGTTGAGGCTCTTATTTTCTCTGAAACAAAAAAATTTCTTCAAAATGGATGAAAAATGAATTGAAGAAAATATGGACTTTGTGAAATAATGAGTATACTCACAAGTATAAACAAAATACTGTAATTATCTAATATTTCAAGTAAAGGGGGCAGGAACTGAGCTGTTCTGGACATACTAATTTAACCGAGACTTGTATTTTAGCTGTACCAAGTGCTGCAATGTCTACTCCTCAACAACACATCTTCCCTGGGAACCAGCCAGCTGCCATGACAACACAAGTTCAAATGATCCCCCCTCAGTACACCAACACAGGGGTTCTGTATCCAGCAGCCCCCAATTTTCCAGTGCCCCCCGTTCCTTTAGCTGGATTCGCTCCCATGGGAAATCACCCACCAGCATTAGCCACCCATCAACAAGGCTTCCCCTCACCCCCAGGGACTCAACCCACATCAGTGGGGGCCCAACAAAGCCCAACACAGTCAGGACCACAGGTAAGATTCATCAGGTAGATACATGTATATAGAGTGAAGTAAGTAATTAGGATATAGGCTTAATAGTTTTTTTTTTACTGATTCAGGAGATGTTCCGAAACCAAACAGTGTATTATCCTCCCGAGTTACAAATGCGAGGCTCAAGAGCAACACCAAAGAGGGCAAAGGCTGCCATTCCCATTGTCAATCCAAAGGTATTCAAATCAGTTATTTCATCCAGAAATCTTTGGATTTTCAGCTCAATACCTGTATAAATCCTGCAAATCAAGGGCAAATTCTTGCAAATTAATACAGCTGATTATAATTGAATAATTGCATAGTTAAGTTAATTATTTATGTGTTTTAATCATAGGAAGTGAAAAGGGAATTTCATAGAGAAGACTATGTAGCAGAGGAAATTGTGTCACAAGAAGATCATATAGAACAGATGCCCCCTGTGGGGTTGGAGTCCTCAGAGGAGCAGGTGCCCCCTGTAGGGCTGGAGTCTTCAGAGGAGCAGGTGCCCTTTGAGGACCCCACAGTTTCCAGAGATAGTAAGGAATTGGATGAGGACTTACAAGGCCATAAGGAGGCACCATCAGGGGGCACAGATATTGTAAAAACTGAGGACAGTACGATAGATGATAATATTAATAATTCAAACAATATAGTGGTGTCAGAAGTTTCAGAATCTGTTTCAAGTACAGACAAAGAAAATGAGGACACAGAGAGCTCAGTTGTGGTCAAATCAGAGCCCGAGTGTAGCATAGATCATGAGAGTATAGAACATAGTGGTGAAATTCCACCAGAAGCAAGTGTAAAAACTGAGGATGTTGGAGAAACAGTAAAGAAAGAAGAAAGTGAGGAATCACAAACTCTGGAGATCAAAACGGAGCAAACTGTGGAGATCAAAACGGAGCCAGTAGATGTGGAGTTTGAGACGGAACAGAAAGATTCCGTGGAATCGAATGCAGAAACGGTTCAGGTGAAAGAGGAAGAGGAAAATGCTAGTGATAATGAGAGCTTTGCTGATGCCAAAGATGAGTTGGAGAACGAAACAGATAAACAAGAGGATGGAGACCCTGTCACATAAAGTGTGTGTTAATATTGTACTGTAATCTGACTTACCTATGTGTGGGACTTTCTCAAGCTTGTTGTTTCAAAGCAGGTTTTTCTTTGCTTTTTGATTTCTAACTCAAATCTGGTTGTCAATGCTTAATATAAAGCAGTTATGATAAAAGATTTTGATGAAAGGAAACTGTTTTGCATACTCCCCTATTATTACTTCAATGACATACTGTAAATATAAGCATATGTAGGCAGTATCCTTTTTAGATTATTGTGTACATGTTAAAGAGTGTAAATTCATGTAATGAAAAGGGTAAAGGTATCGTGATAGATTAAGATAAATATTTAGATGAACCGAGTGAGCTCAGTTGTTTTGGAAATTATTTTGAGAAAGATCTAGATTTTAAACATGTACAAGTGCTATATATTCATGCTTGTTGTTTTGTGAAAAAAAGCACAGCAATTTAATGCATACATACATATTCTCTCACAATAAAAACTTTAAAAAAAAAACATCAAGGCAATTTTGAGGGTGCATCAAAATTTTCTATTAAAAAAAATCTTTTGCAAATATTGTGTGAAATACTAATTAAAGAGTGTACGCCTCCAGAAAGTTGTACTAATCTTTGGTCTGTTTATGAATTGTACATTTACTGTACATTTATTTTCAAGGTTCAAGTTTGTTATTGTTTTTCCTAATCATGAACTAATCACTTTTTGTACCATTATTCATGCACTGCTAAAAATCCTTGTATTACAGTATTTGTATAGAAATACTACCAGTAAATGCTACATGTTGAATGTAGTAATGCTACATGTTGAAATAAAAAACTTAAGTTCTCTATCTCTGAATTATAATGGTTAAGAGTTTTTTGAACACTTTTCCTCATGAATTTTAGATGTTGCACTTTTCCATTTCCATGTTTTGTTCCTTTTTTTTTTTTTTTATAGAACATTACTCTCTGTATAAATGAAATTTGACTCAAGTTTCATTTTAAAGGAGTAAATTTGTTATAATTTCACTTTGTATATGATGGGTGCATAAAATGTGCAATTTATGTAAATTTGTAAAATATCAGTTTTGAAGATATGAAGATGTATATTAAGATTTGATATCTTGTTTTTGGATTATATATACAATGTAATATTAAAAAAAAGAAGAATGTAAATACTAAGTAAATCTTTAATAGATTATTTTGTTAGAAATGGTGATTTAAAATTACTCAGCATGTTTAAATTAATAATTAAATGTAAATTCTTGCATTTAGACCTCTTTTTTTTTTTTTTTTTTTTAATCTCAGTGACAAAACAGCAATAATGTTCATCATACCTGTATGTGATAAAGCTCTTGAATTGGAGGAGTAGAATTATGCATTTATAATAAGAGGAATATAAAACTAGAAGACTAGCTCTACGGACAGGAGAGGTTTCTCTTTTTGACATCCTCCCCCTCCTGGTATTGGGGAAGGTCACAAAAGAGGATTTAAATTCCTCATGCCGGGGGGGGGGGGGGGTTATGGCTTGAAAAATTCTACATTTTTCTTTATGATCAATTTAGCCCCACCCTAACATCACCCCTGGCCCCGAGGCCACAAATTCTGCAAGAGCTCCACATAAATGATAACATTTAAAACTTTTTGTTGCCTAATAATAGTTGACAGCTTGAAAGATATCATATAGAAAAAGTTATATCTGATGGTTAATTTGTTGATCCACCCAGCCTCCTTAAGGTGAGCTTGCCTATCAGAGTGAATACCAGCAGCAAAACCATTCATTATTATAATCCATATAGACAGGGATGTTTGCCCATTGTATCTTAATGTAATCTATACAAGATTCATTAAAATCAGACTGATGCTGTAATGCTGTTGCTGCACTTTAAAAAATGGTTTATACAACACAAGGATACTTAATCTATGTATCCTCCAGTCTGTAACCAGGAGTTATAAAATAAAATCGGTGTTTTGTTCATTTTACTTAATATCTGAGAATTCATCATACAAGTATGAACTTGGTTTCTAAAACTGAAAAGTTTTATAAGCACTTTAACAGTAACAAGTTACAAGTACAGTATTGTTCAGGGTTCATAGATAATTACATGTAATAACACATGTAACAGCACTAAAAAGATTCTTATAACGGAACTTTATGCAAATACATATTTCACTTAGAAACAATAATTGCACCAATAAAGTAAATCTGAAATGAAACATTAATATTAATTTAAGTTCACTTCTCTATGGATTTTAAACACATGAGACCCAATTAGAACAATGCATATGCCACACTAATATAAAATACAGTAGAACTCTGAAAACAAGTCCCTAAGCAATAAAATATTGGATTAACATTTGCAAATAGTTTAAGCATACAATTATGTAATATGAAAATTAAACGTGACATATTAAGTGTACTTCAGAATCGGGTAAACATAAAAATAACATCTTTAAAAATCCCCATTTTATTACATGCTTGCTTAGCTAACAAGATTGCAGAGTATAAATATAAAAAATACAGTCCATGGAATTTTACCCCAAAAAACATTTATAAACAACACTAAACTACTAATTCCGATATTATGCTCTGCTAATAAAGAAAATACCTTTCTTATCCAAAATATACTCCCTGAAATATCTCTCAGTCATATTAAGAATTAAGTTTAAATACGTAACTGTGGATTCATAATCTATTAAACCGGTAATGATCGTAAGTGAATGGGATTTCTATAAGGTGTCAACAGGTGTAAAACATGAATTTCAAGCAATACACACAATGTATATAATAAGTTAAAAAAAAAAAAAATTCTATGTCCTAATGATGAGTTACACTCCTCCTCCACTCCTGTGTACTGGAATTTTCTCTGCCGACATTTCAGCAGCCTTGGCAAATCGTGAGTTGGACACTGCTCCACTTTTTAATGCACTCATCAGCTGAAGCAAAGAAATGAAATTCATATACTTGTGTTCTTCTGGGTTTTTATAGTCATACCTAGAAAGTTCTAAACATTTAGATATCCATATTCATTATACTCTATTACTCTATATGCAGGATCGAGATACAGATCAATGTTAATCAGCTTATAACCATAAAAGCAGCTAATACATCATATACTGGTAGAACATACTACAACTACCCTCATATAAGCTTACACATTTAGGAATCAAAATTATGGGAATTAATTTGTTAACAGAAAACAATTAAATACTTTGGAATCAGGTTGTAATGAATGTGAGGGTCAGGTGCTCTATTGTGATTATGTATATGTTTATACATGTCCCTGTTAGAAACCACCCTTGTTACATCAGGAATCAGGTGGAACACAAATCTTGTTATTTTTCTGGATAAGCAAAGTATTAATTGCAGGATATGTAAAATAAAGAAAAAAACAAGAGGCCCATAGGCCACATCGCTCACCTGAGTAACTTGGGTGATGCAGTTCTTTACCAGATTCCCCGTCTTGTTATACCTATTGTGGCCCCCTACCCCCTCCCCTGTCATGATTTTAATACTTTAGAATCTACACTTCCACAGGATGCTTCCACATAAGTTTCAGCTTTCCGGGCCCAGTGGTTTTTGAGAAGAAGATTCTTAAAGATTTTTCCTAAATATTTCTATGTAAAACTTGGATTCTCTATTGTGACCCCTCCCTACCCCCCGGGGGTCTTGCTTTTAACAATTTAAAATTTACACTACCCAAGGATGCTTCCACATAAGTTTCAGCTTTCCTGGTCCAGTGGATCTTGAAAAGATTTTCAAAGATTTGTTCTATATATTTCTATGTAAAACTTGGATTCCTTAATGTGGCCCCGCCCTACGCCCGGGGGTCATGATTTTAACAACTTAAAATCCACACTACCCAAGGATGCTTCCACATAAGTTTCCACTTTCCTGGCCCAGTGGCACTTGAGAAGAAGATTTTTTAATGACCCCATCCTAATTTTGTCTTTTCTTGATTATCTCCCCTTGTAAGGGGACTTGGCCTTTCATTTTAACAACTTAAACTCCCCTTCACCAAAGAATGCTTCGTACTAAGTTTGGTTAAAATTGGCCCATTGGTTCTTGAAGAGAAGTTGAAAATGTGAAAAGTTTACAGACGGACGGACGACGGAAAAAATGTGATCAGAAAAGCTCTCTTGAGCCTTTGGCTCAGGTGAGCTAACAAGAGCACCACAAAGCAGATCATCCCCTCGCAAAGAGCACATCTTAAATTAATCAAGATGGCATTCAACATCAGTCCTGATACAAATTACTTCTGTATTTGAACAAGCAAAACTAACACAGGGACAAACACACACAAGAGCATTACTATACCCCTTCCAACTGCATTGCAAGGGATAATAAATAGTGATAGAATGTTGTGTATTATTTAAGAATACTAAATCTACAGGTGACAGAAAGAAATACACTTCAACCCAAGGCCACACAGATACAATGTATATATAAGGTGCTTAGTACCAGTTGATGTTTTCTGTGGAGATCTTTATCATATTCATCATGTCTATTTATCTCAGCTGCTATGTGAGCACAGTAAACTAACTGGAAAACAAACACCCCCAGCTTTATAGTCAAGTCCTATACATGTCCATGGGTGCTGAATACAGCAAAGACTCGCATCGTTTGTGTGTGTAGGAATGTGAGCTGTGAGTTACATAAAGGCAAATATAGATTTTATAGACAGAATGTAGCAGAAAAATCAACCAGCCAGTGAACACAAGTTTTTATGAGAATGCTCCTAAATATTATATTGGTGGTTTTCATATATTGCTAATTATTATTTAGTGTACATGCTACACAGTCCTTTTACAATATGTATACACACACATTGATAGCCTTAATTAAAACAGTTTTACCCAGATTGCCTGAACATGTGACACTATACTCCTGATTCGTCTTACCTGTAGGAACTCTCCGATGTCCACCTGGGCATTGCGATTGAGATCCACTTCACTCAGGATGTCATGTAACTGGTCCTCTGTGACTCTCTCTCCAGTTTGCTGTAATTCAAATCAATCAGAATCAACAACACTACACTTAAAGTCTGAAAACTGTTATTTTCCTACATAACTCACACTCTCGATGGTTAAATAGCAAGCTTATACTCTTAAGCATTATAAGATTAACAACATTTACAATGAAATAGGTATTTATATATACAGATATTTAGATATATGAAGCTACAGTCAACAAATTGTCCAGCTGTGTATAACATAAATAATGTTTTTTTCCTGGTAAATCAGCCCAATATTAAAATATTGATTTTGATTTGAAAAAGTAGAAATTGGTTTTATTATTGAAAAGTTTAAATCCAAAAGTAAACCTCTGACCAGTTATGGTTTTGCTATTCTTGAGAAGATGATTTTTAAAGAATTTTCTTATATATTTCTATTTAAAACTTTGGTCAGCCATTGTGTCCCCGCCCTACCCCCGGGGGTCATGATTTGAACAAACTTGAATCTACATTACCTGAGGATGCTTCCATATAAATATGATCAATCATGGCTTTGTTATTCTTGAGAAGAAGATTTTAAAAGAATTTTCCTATATATTTCTACGTAAAACTTTGATCGGCCATTGTGGCCCAGCCCTACCCCTGGGGGTCATGATTTGAACAAACTTGAATCTACACTACCTGAGGATGCTTCCATATACACTGTAAATATGATCAATCATGGCTTTGTTATTCTTGAGAAGATTTTTAAAGAATTTTCCTATATATTTCTATGTAAAACTTTGGTTGGCCATTGTAGCCCCGCCCTTCCCCCGGGGGTCATGATTTGAACAAACTTGAATCAACACTACCTGAGGATGCTTCCATATAAATATGATCAATCATGGCTTTGTTATTCTTGAGAAGAAGATTTTTAAAGAATTTTCCTATATATTTCTATGTAAAATTTTGGTCGGCCATTGTGGCCCCGCCCTACCCCTGGGGGTCATGATTTGAACAAACTTGAATCTACACTACCTGAGGATGCTTCCATATAAATATGATCAATCATGTATTTGCTATTCTTGAGAAGAAGATTTTTAAGAATTTTCCTATATATTTTTATGTAAAACTTTGGTCGGCCATTGTGGCCCCGCCCTACCCCCGGGGTCATGATTTGAACAAACTTGAATCAACACTACCTGAGGATGCTTCCATATAAATATGATCAATCATGGCTTTGTTATTCTTGAGAAGAAGATTTTTAAAGAATTTTCCTATATATTTCTATGTAAAACTTTGGTCGGCCATTGTGGCCCTGCCCTACCCCATGGGGTCATGATTTGAACAAACTTGAATCTACACTACCTGAGGATGCTTCCATATAAATATGATCAATCATGGCTTTGTTATTCTTGAGAAGAAGATTTTTAAAGAATTTTCCTATATATTTCTATGTAAAACTTTGATCGGCCATTGTGGCCCAGCCCTACCCCCGGGGGTCATGATTTGAACAAACTTGAATCGACACTATCTGAGGATGCTTCCATATAAATATGATCAATCATGGCTTTGTTATTCTTGAGAAGAAGATTTTTAAAGAATTTTCCTATATATTTCTATGTAAAACATTGGTCAGCCATTGTGGCCCCGCCCTACCCCCAGGGGTCATGATTTGAACCAACTTGAATCTACACTACCTGAGGATGCTTTCCCATAAGTTTTATCTTTCCTGGCACAGTGGTTCTTGAGAAGAAGATTTTTAAAACATACCACCAAATTTTCATTAATTCCCAATTATCTCCCCTTGAATGAGGGCGTGGCCCTTCATTTTAACAAACTTGAATCCCCTTCACCCAAGGATGCTTCGTGGCAAGTTTGGTTGAAACTGGCCAAGCGGTTCTTGAGAAGAAGTCGAAAATGTGAAAAGTTTACAGACAGATGGACGCCGGACAAAATGTGATCAGAAAAGCTCACTTGAGCCTTCGGCTCAGGTGAGCTAAAAATCTATATGATTCAATACCTCTTTACTATTGTATATATATGTAGAGTGTATTTTTTTTTGTATATTAAATACAGGTATAGTAAAAATTTATGGACTATTTATAATAACTTCTAGATAAATGATTCAAATACCGGGTATATGACTGAATTCAGAAAAGTTCATAAATAAATAAAAGGAGGTCATCTAACAAATGGTCAAAATGAATAGCACCCTAAAAAATTTATGTTTGTGATTTGCTTCATATTCAACCCGACCTTTCTTGAAAGGAGGAGGTTTTTTTGTCTTCAATGATACTACATGTATTATGGATAGTAGAAACAAAATTGAAACAAGTCTTTAGTCAAAACTTTAAGAATATCAAGTGTTTTTCTTTTTGTAGTTTTTGTTTTTTTGACAAATATACAGAAGGTTAATGTATCAAATAGTGTCAAGTCTTAAGCAATTCAGTTAAAATAGCATTTTCGCTAGCCAAGGGTTTCTGATACTCTACTCTCCTCATAAACCCTTGGCCTACGGTGAAGTCAAAAGATGGGATTGTTTTCCGTCACGTGATCTCGAATCTATCAGGTACGAACAGATTGCGTCATCGCCAGAAATAAAGACACGTGTTAAAAAAAAATAAATCAAAGTTTTTTCAAGAATAATTAAGAAGCAATAATTGAGTTATGTTTATTCATTATTTTTAGAACTAATCTGAAGCTTCAATATAGATTCTTAATCACATATTTATAGAAGATATTGGATGACACCATGGCTATTCTTAGAATTGAATGTTATCTTACGGATCGTTGTTTACTTGCGTTTTTCATTTCCCATATTAAAGAGTCGAGAAGTATCCCAAACGCAAATATCGTCATTTACAAAAAACAATTGCTGATTGGTCGACCTGGGTGTACTGAAATCCAATCAGAACTCTGAAAAAAATCCCGATTTCTATGAATACCGTAGGCCAAGGGTTTATGAGGAGAGTAGCATATCAGAAACCCTTGGCTAGCGAAGATGTTAAAATAGAACAAGAGGCCCATGGGCCACATCGCTCACCTGAGAAGCATTGACCATTCTCTTCTTTACTAGATTTCCCCCTTGTTATACTTAATGCATCCCCTTCCTACTCCACTGATAATAATTTAGACATTTTGAAATCTACACTACCCCATGATCTTTCCATGGGCACATATGTTTCAGCTTTTTTGGCCCAGTGGTTCCTGAGAAGAAGATTTTTCCTATATATTTCTATGTAAAACTTTGATTCCCTATAATGGCCCCGCCCTTCCCCCGGGGGTCATGATTCCTACAATTTAGAATTTACACTACCCCAGAATGCTTCCACATAAGCTTCACTTTTTCTGGCCCAGTGATTCTTGAGAAGAAGATTTTCAAAGATTTTTCCTATTTATTTCTATGTAAAACTTTGATACCCCATTGTGGCCCCGCCCTTCCCCCGGGGGTCATGATTTGAACAATTTAGAATCTACACTATACCAGGATGCTTCCACATAAGTTTCAGCTTTTCTGGCCCAGTGGTTCTTGAGAAGAAGATTTTCAAAGATTTTTCCTATATATTTCTATGTAAAACTTTGATTCCCCATTGTGGCCTGGCCCTTCCCCCGGGGGTCATGATGTGAACAATTTAGAATCTACACTATACCAGGATGCTTCCACATAAGTTTCAGCTTTTCTGGCCCAGTGGTTCTTGAGAAGAAGATTTTCAAAGATTTTTCCTATATATTTCTATGTAAAACTTTGATTCCCCATTGTGGCCTGGCCCTTCCCCCGGGGGTCATGATGTGAACAATTTAGAATCTACACTATACCAGGATGCTTCCACATAAGTTTCAGCTTTTCTGGCCCAGTGGTTCTTGAGAAGAAGATTTTCAAAGATTTTTCTATATATTTCTATATAAAACTTTGATTCCCCATTGTGGCCCCGCCCTACTCCCGGGGGTCATGATTTGAACAATTTAGAATCTACACTACCCCAAGATGCTTCCACATAAGATTCAGCTTTACTGGCCCAGTGGTTCTTGAGAAGAAGATTTTTTAATGACTCAACCCTATTTTTTGCCTTTTCTTGATTATCTCCCCTTGCGAGGGGATATGTCCCTTCATTTTAACAATTTAAATTCCCCTTCACCCAAGGATGCTTTGTACCAAGTTTGGTCAAAATTGGCCCAGTGGTTCTTGAGAAGAAGTCGAAAATGTGAAAAGTTTACAGACGGACAGACAGACAGCTAGACGGACGGACGGACGGACGGACAGACAGACGGATGGACGACGGACAAAATGTGATCAGAAAAGCTCACTTGAGCCTTCGGCTCAGGTGAGCTAAAAATTAAAGCTTTGAAGCATTAGTTACTAAAGCCCTCTGAACAGAAATTTTCAACTCCAGTGAAGCTAATGATTAGTTTCACAATTGCTTTATACAATTACTGTATAAAATGTTTCAATTCTATACAAAATAAATGGTTGAAAAGGGCTCATTTCATATTATGAAGTTTCAAATTTTTTCAGTCAAAATCTGACCTTTTCTGGAGAAACTTGCAAAATCTCAAAAACAGTAACTCATTCTACAGTCAATAACTGTTTTGCCATAAAATGATCACAGTACTTACATACAAGTACACAAGTATAAGTAAATATTAAATCAATTAGATTTAGAAAGAATTTAATTTTTCATCCTGTGATAGTTTTTGATTTGCTATGACTATTTCATATAGAGGGAGTATTATCATGGAATACTGACAATGCAAATGCTGAAGGCTATTTTGCCAAGGAGTCCTATACAATGAATATTAAATAAAAAAAGGATTTTTATTGCATATTCACTCACCGATCCCTGTAGTAAATATACGTAAATGAAACATATCAGAGAAAATATTGAATAATGAAATATTTAGCCAGGCTATAAAGTTATTTTATGAAAAATCTGATAATTAAAACAAGCACAAAAAACGATTAAAAAGCAGAAACAAAGTTTTCTCATAAGACAAAAAAAAAAACATTAAAAATGCATTTCTTGTTTTCTTGCTACATGAAGCTTACCTTGAAATAACGTCTGAGATCGTTGACGGTTATATATCCTTTGTTGTCCCTATCCAGACTCTTGAATCGCTTGACATACATATTGATCTCGTCCTTGTTGAAGTTGATGGGAACATTAGAAGTGCCACTTCCAAGCTCTAGTCCCATCTCCCTCCTCAGAAAAGTCTTAGCTCTGGCCAACTCATCCTGCATTTAAAGATTCGGGTGAAGCTTTAACAAAATATATGTGTATTCTTTATACTAGTACCTATATGTAAAATTCAGCTATATTCCTTAGCATTGTTTTTCCTTTTTAAAGTATCAATCTCTTCGATTCTTTTTAAAGAACCTCAGCGTAATGTTCACTGAACACCAATTTCTGTGGAGCTCGACCATAAAATAGGGGTTCAAGATAAACAAGAGGCCCAGGGGCCACAGCGCTCACCTGAGCACATCAGGCTTGAATTTACCCCCCCCCCCCTTTCCAGGCGTTCATCATTTGAACAAACTTGAATCTACACTACCTGAGGATGATTCCATATAAATACCCAGAGTATCACTAATCATAGCTTTGAAGTACTTGAAAAGAAGATTTTAAAAGGTTTCCAATATTTCCCTATGTAAAACTTGGGTCGGCCATTTTGGCCCTACCATATCCCAAAGGCGGGGGGTCATGATTTGAAAAAACTTGAATCTACACTACCTGAGGATGATTCCACATGAATTTCATCTTTCCTGGCCCAGTGGTAATTGAGAAGGATTTTTAAAGATATTTCCTATATATTCCTATGTAAAACTTGGGTCGGCCATTTTGGCTCCACCCTTGCCCCGGGGGTCATGATTTGAACAAACTTGAATCTACACTACCTGAGGATGATTCCACATGAATTTCATCTTTCCTGGCCCAGTGGTAATTGAGAAGGATTTTTAAAGATATTTCCTATATATTCCTATGTAAAACTTGGGTCGGCCATTTTGGCTCCACCCTTGCCCCGGGGGTCATGATTTGAACAAACTTAAATCAACACTTCCTGAGGATGTTTCCACATGAGTTTCATCTTTCCTGGCCCAGCAGTTCTGGAGAAGAAGATTTTTAAAGATTTTTCTTATATATTCCTATGAAAAACTTGGGTCGGCCATTTTGGCCCCACCCTTGCCCCAGGGGTCATGATTTGAACAAACTTGAATCTACACTACCTGAGGATGATTCCATATGAGTTTCATCTTTCCTGGCCCAGTGGTTCTGTAGTAGAAGATTTTTAAAGATTTTTCCTATATATTCCTATGTAAAACTTGGGTCGGCCATTTTGGCTCCACCCTTGCCCCGGGGGTCATGATTTGAACAAACTTGAATCTACACTACCTGAGGATGATTCCACATGAGTTTCATCTTTCCTGGCCCAGTGGTTCTGTAGTAGAAGATTTTTAAAGATTTTTCCTATATATTCCTATGTAAAACTTGGGTCGGCCATTTTGGCTCCACCCTTGCCCCGGGGGTCATGATTTGAACAAACTTGAATCTACACTACCTGAGGATGATTATACATGAGTTTCATCTTTCCTGGCCCAGCAGTTCTGGAGAAGAAGATTTTTAAAGATTTTTTCTATATTTTCCTATGTAAAACTTGGGTCGGCCATTTTTGCCCCACCCTTGCCCCGGGGGTCATAATTTGAACAAACTTGAATCTACACTACCTAAGGATGATTCCACATGAGTTTCATCTTTCCTGGCCCAGTGGTTCTGGAGAAGAAGATTTTTAAAGATTTTTCCTATATATTCCTATGTAAAACTTGGGTCGGCCATTTTGGCCCCACCCTTGCCCCGGGGGTCATGATTTTAACAAACTTGAATCTACACTACCTGAGGATGATTCCACATGAGTTTCATCTTTTCTGGCTCGGCAGTTCTGGAGAAGAAGATTTTTTAAAAATGCCATTAATTTTTAACAAATTCATGATTATCTCCCCTTGGAAAAGGGCGTGGCCCTTCATTTGAACAAACTTGAATCCCCTTTACCCAAGGATAATTTGTGCCAAGTTTGGTTGAAATTGGCCCAGTGGTTCTTGAGAAGAAGAAGAATATGTGAAAAGTTTACGACAACGACGACAACAACAACAACAACGACGACGACGACGACGACGACAGACAACGGACAAATTTTGATCAGAAAAGCTCACATTAGCCTTCGGCTCAGGTGAGCTAAAAAGCTACAAATTCTTCTTATGATAAAATAGGATGAAGTAAATGTCCTTGAATTTAAATATTGATGTAATAGTACACCCCCATCCCAACCAAAAAAAATTGAACCTATAAACAATAATTAATGAAAACACCATTTTTTTTAAAGAACCAATTAAATTTGTTTTATTTTAAGACTTTCTTTTAACCTGTTGTCTTGATTTGCTCCATTTCAGTTCCTCGGCCATGATCTCCACAATCCTAGGTAAGGCCTCTTCTGCAGCGTTAGCATTACAGAAGGCTAGCCGCGTCCTGCGGGCGATGATATCTATTGCAGTGCAAGCGTACTCCCTTACAGCATATTTCACCTAAAAATAGAATTTTTAAAAATTAATAAAAACAAAAATATTTCCAGCAAGATTAGATTGTGGATTTTGTGGACCCCTACCTCGGCTTCTAAATAAGGGAACTCATCATGAAGTCTCTTCCCAACCACTGGCCATCTCTTCCCAGTTAATGAGGACATCTTAGCAATCTTAAAGGCCTTATCTCCATAGGTACTGGCCAAATGTTGAGCAACCTGTAGGAAAGTTTATAGAAATTCAAAAGCATTATTAATCAATCAAAGGACACAATAAAAGAAGTACATTTCCAAATGTTTTGGAACGTCTTAAAATAACCATGGTTATTTCCAACACAGAGCTTTTGCAAGTAAGATTTTTTTCTCCAAGAACTATGCTGTCACTTAATCTTACAAAAGTTGATTTTGGACAAATAACAACTTATTTCCAAATACATTGTACATGTAATAATATTAGTAGTCATAGCAGAAAATTGATTGAGACAGATAGTGTACAATCCAATAAAGAGCCAGTCATTATTGAGAGAACCAGGGATTTTTTTTAGGGTCTCACTTGGGCTGCAATTCGGCCCCATTCCCAATGCTGAAAAATGCATGCTTTTCCCAAAATTATACCTAAAAATTCCCAATATGAAAGGAGTATTAAGTTGTAAATTATTAAAATAAAATGAGGAAATAAAGGTGTTTGTTTTCTTTGTGCGATGTACGAGCCATTCGAGGAATTCCAAGAAGTCATTCAGAATACTATGTATATTTGCATGCATACTTTTTAAAGCGGGATCGATGTTTCAAAATTAAAGTTGGGATCTTTATCTAATAAATGAACGTGCACCATTTCAGTGTCTCCAGTTTGCCAGGGACGTATTTTTCATGCTGGTTTGAATTGCTATTATTCTTATAAACTGGTCAAACAGTACCATTTAACCAATCATCTGGAACAAACCCACTATCAAATTTTATTTTAAAGAACTTTTTATATAAAGGTAAAGAAGATGACAACGTATAAATATGTTCATTTTTTTATCATACCCAGTGGCTTTGCCATTTTTAAGCTTCTGAACTTCAACAGCAGCTATTATTTTTTTATATTACTAAAGCTGGTTTAACCCAGTTTCATACAATAAAAGTTAAGAAAAATGATTAAAGATTTGACTTCTGCTTGTTTTTTCCTTTTTGTTTGTATGAAGCTATTTTTCCAAATTTCAACAAATATCGCTATTTTTCCCAATCTTGACAGCCCCAGCCCCTGGAATCAAAGAGTAAAACTAGAAATATGTCCATAGGACATGAATGCCCCGCCAAGGGTATATTAGTAATGCAACATGAAAATTTGTATTAGCATATGAAATTTGATAAGAATATCTTGAATATTGATGCAGTTGAATTGCTTACATCAGTATGTATCAGCATATGAAATTGACACTAAATAAACTGAGGTCAAGATCAAACATCAGTATGTTTCAGCATATGAAGTTGAACAAAAATATTATAAATGGTTTCTTTAAAACTGACTTAAAAACAATTTGATAAAAGTGAGGTCAATGTCAAATGAAAGGTCAAGGTCAAAAATGTAAATGCAGTTGAATTGCTTACATCAGTATGTATCAGCATATGAAGTTTGACACTGATAAAGAAAAGTGAGGTCAAGGTCAAAGGAAAGGTGAAGGTCAAAAATGTTGATGCAGTTGCATATCTCTCATCAGTATGTATCAACATATGAAGTTTGATAAAAATATCTGGAATGATTTCTTTAATTAAAACTGACTTAAACAAAATTTGATAAAAGTGGGGTCAAAGTCAAATAAAAGGTCAAGGTTAAAACTGTTGATGCAGTTGAATTGCTTACATCAGTATGTATCAGCATATGAAGTTCACACTGATTTAAAAAAGTAAGGTCAAAAGGTCAAAGAAAAAGTCAAGGTCAAAAATGTTGATGCAGTTGAATTGCTCTCATCAGTATGTAACAGCATATGAAGTTTGATAAAAATATCTTGAATGATATCTTTAAAACTGAGCTAAACACTAATTAAAGATAAGTGAGGTCAAGGTCTAAGGAAAGGTCAAATAAAAGGTCAAGGTTAAAAATATTGATGCAGTTGAACTTCTTACATCAGTATGTATCAGCATATGAACTTTGACACTGATTAAGGAAAAGTGAGGTCAAAGGTCAAAGGAAAGGTCAAGGTAAAAAATGTTGATGCAGTTGCATATCTCTCATCAATATGTATCAACATATGAAGTTTGATAAAAATATCTAGAATGGTATCTTTAAAATTGAGCTTTAAACACTACTTTAAGAAAAGTGTGGTCAAGGTCAAAGGAAAGGTCAAGGTAAAAAAATTGATGCAGTTGCATAGCTCTCATCAATATCTATCAGCATATGAAGTTTGATGAAAATATCTTGGATAGTTTCTTTGAAACTGAACTTTGAACAGAGCTAAACGCAAAGTGTGATGGAAGAACAGACGGAAGGACAGAAGGAGGGAAGACAGACATGACAAACACTATATGTCCTGGCCATATTCATGGCGGGGCATAAAAATCCCTGAGAACTGACCTCATTTTCTAAGCCAAAGTCCTGCACAAGTCTGATGAACAGTGTGGGTGTCCAGCCGTGAGCACCGTCCAGTAGTAGCCCCTTAGTCTGACAGGGCTTGGCATGCTTCAGTGAACACACCTCTACTGCTTTGTCTAATGTCTCCTCTGCCATGTGTCGATATGTTGTCCATTTCCCTCCTATCAAGGAGAGAAATAGTGTGTAACTATCAATATTATCAATAAGGACAGTAAAACAGATCAGTCATTTCTAAAATCAAACATTAAATTTGATTCTTTTAAATGCTACAAAGAGTAAAATATTTTAAAATAATTCACTATCTGAACATCTCTTTTTCTCTGAAGGCTCGAGTTATGGCGAGTCCTTTCCAATGTTTTTGACAATATTTGCCCTCTGATTTATACCTGCTATAGTGATAAGATGGTCCTCCGCCACCTCAATGATGTGGTTCCTGGCCACAGACTGTGTGTCCTTCTTGTTTGGATCTGACACTAACGGACGGATACCACACCAGGCTGACAACACATCACCACGACGAACTGTAAACAGGAAAACAACATTATCATTCAATGAAATGAGTTTTTATCCCATTTTTGTCACTTTTATATTGATATCAGCTTCTATATATTTTTTGAAGTTTATATGCATATATATAACAACCAACTCTTACCCTCTACGTCAGGGTGAAGGTAATTCTTGACTTCATTCAGGATGAACTGGATTTCTTTCTCTGTTGGAGTTGGGTAATCTGTCAGCTCACAAGAGGAATCGGTGGTTCCTAAATTTAGAGCATCAAAATATGTCAAATACTGAAATGTCTGACAGATTAAAAAATTTTGTTTGAACAGTTTGTTATTCTATGATTTCTCAATGTCTGGTACATAACTTACTAACCTGCTAAAGTGTGATTCTGCCAAGGCAAAAAGAAAATCACTCTACCATCACTAGTGGCAGGGTCTAATAGTCCCATCTTGTCTGGACTGAAATATTTTTGTACATTATGTATATATACAGAAATACATGTAGAAGGTATTGCTTTATTTTGTTAATTTATTCAATCATTCTCCTGCTTACAGACCCATGTGTAAATTTAAAAAAAAGTGAATAAGTATGTAGCTTTATAACAAAATGTCAACAGAGGAAACTAGATGCTGTCATGAGACAGTAATACCCGCACTAAGGTGTTTGCCTCTAAATACACAATCCTACGGGCGGCTTACCAAGGAAAAAGTCAAAATAATTCTATATAATTCAGGCACGTAGCATCGTTTTTGAAAGTGGGGGGGGGGGGCAACCTGAGAAAATTTTTTTACTAACCTAAAAAAATTAACAAGGAAAAAAAATGAAATGGGGGGGGGGGGGGGGGGGTGGGGGGGTGGTGGCCACTTTTTTTTCAATGCAAAATTACTTTCACTTCCAATTTTTCCCATATTTCCTTGCAATGTATATACTGGGGTTAAAAGTGGGGGGAGGGGGCAACCATCTTTTTAATGGACATTTTCTTATAGTACAGGTTATGTTGGGAAAAAAAGGGGCAGCCCCCCCAAGCCCCCCACCCCCCCCCCCCCCCCCGGTTGCTACGTGCCTGTAATTTACATATGTATTCATAAAATTGGGTATGAAATTATCCCTGTGACCTATAACTCAGAACCTCTTATATTTATTTTACATGCTTAATTCATTATATACCAGTTTGAATTCTATTAATAATGTAAATTAGATTTTGATAAATGTTTTGCTCATATTAGGACCTTTTTAAATTTACTAATCCCCCCCCCCCCCCCCCCCCCTCTCGACACCACAATCACACAGTACATACTTTTGGGAATAGGCTAGATGGAACAGTTTTGTTAAAACAGTGTTTGTTATGAATTAATTTAAAATTTGTTCTTGACATGTAAATTCTACATCACATCACGTTGCGTCACCCATTATCATATTTTTAGATTAAACTCCATTCGGTACACCTCGGCCGATTCCCACTTCATCTGATAAGGTGACGGAATCGACGGCACGGAGGTTTTCCGAATGGAATATCATTATAACATGCTGCAGAATGGTGTGCTTTGGATTAATTCATTTTGTGTTATAATTGGATTTATATTTCATGAAGTTTACAGGACCTATGGAGGTCGGTAAGTACAAGTTTAAGTATAGTGGGGGTAAAATAAACCCAAACGATTAGGTTAAAGTTCAAAAGGGTCAAAGATCATCGCATGCCACACTAGACGAATTTCATATTGTGAAGTTATCTCCCCTTGTCGATGTGACATTCAGTTACTGCCAATACTGGTGCGGATCCAGAATTTTTTTCTGGAGTAGGGAGGGGGGTTCACATCTCAGTCAAAATATTCATGCCTAGAATTTCCTGACAAGCAGGAGAAAAAAATCATACACTGAAAACAAATAAACAAAAAAACCCCCAATGTTTTCTTAGTTAGGGGGAGGATGTCCAAAATCATTTTTTATTTGCTTCAGTATATAGTCTTGTTTAAATAACAAAGGAAATTCCAGGGGGGGGGGGTTCCAATCTCCCTACCCACTCCCTATCCCTGAAATAACAATCTATTTTGTGATTCCAATTAAATAGTATATTTTTTTCCATTTGACTAATTATGTACATATTTTGTTTCTTGTGTTTATATTATGTCTGTATATTTGTCTGCAGAAATTATAACCTTGCCCATAAGTTTTAAGTGGGATGGGCTATACAATTGGCTTCCACATTTTATAGGTTTATTTCTTGTGACAATTAAGACCTTTTATTTGGGTACCATTAATTTTTACCTCTGATCACTTGACCTAGAATACACATTTTTACAAGAAAAATACCCAACTTTAAACTTGGCCTAAATTTTGATCAGTAGGTGCTAGGGCTTTCATGCTTAACATGTGTATTCATTGTGAACTGTCAACAGGTATAAATATGTTTGACCTTGACCGTAGAGTTTGAACCACTTAAAAAATTAACCTTGGCAATTAACTTTTGAAGAGGAAGTACTAGGGATTACTTATTTCACATGTGCATTCCTTGTGACAAGACTTTTTTCTGATACCAACAATTGAACCTTTTGACCTTGACCTTTGAGTTTGACATATATTTGAGAAACTTCAACCTTCGCCATAGGCTACCAGACAGGGACATCAGTGTTTCACAAACACATCTTGTCTTCATTATTATTTGGTGGTGTCTCCATATGACGGAAAAATTCCAATGAGATATGTATTCACAACAAACAAACAAATTACTAAAGAAAATATAAAACATGAATATGTTGGTCATGCATATCTCTGCATGAAAAAACCCCCAGCTTTTCAAGTACTGCAACCATATTGTAACCCTTTCAAAACACTCATTTGAGCTTTTCTGGTTTCCTTGTCATATAACGTCTGTTGTGACATGTTGTCCATCTGTTTGTCTGAAAACTTTTTACATTTTTAACTTTTCTAGAACCACTGGTCCAATTTTACCCATGCAATTCATATAGAAATATGTACATTTGTATGTCAGACTGTTCTTCTGTCTGAATAAAATTAACCTTGGTTATCACGGTCATATCTACTGAATGAGAAGAGACAAGGCATTCATATTAAACTTATGTACTTGTATTTACCTGTGAGAATGGCATGGTTTTTTTTTTTTTTTTTTTTTTTTACATATGACCTAGAAGTTTGACCTACTTGCAAAAAAATTAAATTGTTATAAATTTATCATTTTGAAAGAGAAAAGTTAGGGCATTCATATTATAATGCATGTATATTATTACCTGTGATAAGATCTTTCCAAATGAATCATGACTTTTACTCTGTGACCTTGACCTTGAAGCCTAACCCACTTTTCAAAAATGTTGCATTTGCTTATAACTTTTGATTGAGATGAGATATGACTCTCACATTTGACATTTGTACATTAATTACTCATAAAAATTCAAGATGTTTCCCAGCTTGCAATGTTTTTTTACTCTTTAACGTTAATGTTTTACATAATTTTCAAGATATTTAACTCTCCTAAAAGATGATTAGGCTTCTGAGTAACATTAAGGAGGACTTCAGGAAAGACAGGACTTTTTGCACAAAAAATGTAATTTTCCACCCCCATTTGACCTCCCAGGGCAATATCAAAATTCCAAAACCTTGCTGCACATCTACATGACACTACCAACCATCTCCCTAAAGATGATTAGGCTACTGTGTAAAATGTAAGAGAATTTCAGGGAAGACGGGGCTTTTTGCATAAAAACGTCATTTTTTTACCCCTATTTGACCCCCCGGGGCAAAATCAAAATTCCGAAACCTTACTGCACATCTACATGAAACCACCAACCATCTCCCAAAAGATGATTAGCCTACTGTGTAAAATGTAAGAGGAGTTCAGGGAAGACGGGGCTTTTTGCATAAAAAACGTC